TAACTTGGAGGAAATATTTATTTTATGCCATTAATATTTATGTATAATTAGAGCTAAACATGTATATGAGCCTACAGCTATATAGTACCTCCTAGTTTTCAATAGTCCTCAAAGTGATGTTGATCTATGACGAAATCACCCTCAAAGTTAGATGACCGAAGGCAGCCAGTAGGAAGCCTTAGATCTAAGTTCCATGCTTATAAGAACTTGTCACCAAGGCTTATATATATATATATAGAATCTTGAAGGAATCCATGTCGCCTTCAAGATTCAAACCTGAATCTCTCAGTTCTGTAGTCAGAGACGTTAACAATAAGCTATTCTGAGTCACACAGAGCATGAATTCCTTCAAGACTACAGTTTCAAGCTATGAAGTTTTGACAGCATTGGTGATGTTCTCCGTTTACAGAGTTCGATTATTGGCCTCGAGTCTAAACTTGTCTCTTTACTGAGCTTACTAGTGATACTGCTGTCCAGTAAACTAGGTGATTCAGGATTGCGTAGCCGTGTAATCGAACCCGGTGAGCATAATTTAAAATAAGTGGATAAACTAATGCCAACCGGTTACAGTGATAGCATTTAATTGTTGTAATGCATCATGCATGCTGCACATGCATCTACTGAATTTCATCAATGACTGTTGACTCTTTTATACATACTAGTTGACTATCATAAATATTAAAGATGGTTCTCTAATAGTTTGTTGCTTAACTAAATAAGTGTTGTTTTTATAAGTACGATCCGGTTAGAATGCTAACTGAATTCGCCTTCATTTAAATGATTCCTTTCAATGAACTCCATCTTAACACTGACTGACTGACTGACTGATTTCAACACAGAACTACTTGGCAACGATATGCAGCAGTTCCCGTTGCCACACTCCCTTCAAATAGCACACAAAGCAAGAGAAAAAGGTGAAAAGAAATGGAAAATAGGGACAGCAAACAGAGATATGCGACAAAAACAATAGTTATATCGAAGAACAATAAAGTTTTATTGGATATTATGTCATAAGGAATGGATGCATCTGCGCCAGCCATTGAGGACGATTTTGAGCCATATCACCGATTATATCCAGCCTTCATTGGTTCTTACCATCCAGAGGACTCCAACCAGGTAGGCAGGCAGTCTACACCTCCATACACGGCTGGCTTAAACTAATTGTTAAGGATTCCATTGACTGACGAAACCATGTTTTGGTCTGTCCACCACTAGCTAACCCTTGTCCAACTTGATCAATCCTATGTCAGTCAGCTAATATCGCCATTCGGGGAAGGCGACGGCTAGGCATATGCAACACATGTCTTAACAATCTTTGTCGACGTAGCTTTATAAACTCATCGACTGATTTCTCCTCCTTACCTAGAACTCGACCGATGCCTAAGCTCAATATTGCTCACCCTATCATACCAACTAACGCTGGAGATAGAATGCAGGCACCTATAAACTAAGACAGCTATTCTTTTCATGTCTTCCACTCTCAATATCCAGGCCTCACAGCCATAAAGGAGGGCGAAGTGGAATGCTGAGCGGTACATACGCCCTTCGGTCGATAGCTAGCTGAATATCACGTCTACTAAGCCAGAGATGCTGTAAGTTGGCGTGTGCCAAACCAGCCTTCTGCATCCATGCTGAGATTTCGTCAGCGATCAACTCGCTGGCGTTGGCTGATGCAAATTCCACAATAAGTGAAGTGGTCAATGTGCTCTACCACTTCACTGCCTATTTCTAAACTAAGAGTCAATGTAGTCCAGTTCAGTCCTGTAGCATAATCTTACATTTCGCGGAAGCGAATCGTACGCTAAACATTCTCAGATTGCAGCTCAAGGTGTTCAGAAGACTCTTCATTATGTCAGGGTCTTCATCTAGAAGGAATATATCATCTGGATATTCTAAGTCAAATAGATGATTCCCTGGTAAGAAATCAGTTCCTGAGTCGCTGAAGTCAACAGTTAAGGTTAATTCCATTAATACATCTATTGTGAAATTAAATAGAAATGGGGACAGTGTGGACCCCTGACGGACACTACTGATTGTCACCACTTCAGATGATAATTCACCGTAAGCTCCCACCTGGCTACATGAGTTCGAGTAGAGTGCCTTGATCAGTGCAATGTATTTTCTCGGCATTCTCGATCTCAGTCTTAACAAGTATATTTGCATAAAACTATACACTACTGATATACCGAAATGAGTAACTGCACACCATTCATATCAGATAGTAGTGTTTGCTCGTGAGAACGAGGTGATTTTAACACCCGGTCCAACTCATCTCACAGAGCATAATCAGTTCAAACCAACCGATTTCTGAGTAGCTACTTGAGCTGACTGGTGTGTTGCTACCATAAATGAAATTCACAATTTGCACATTAGTTAGTGATCTGCTTGATACCATAAATGTTGGTAATCAAGAAAGGGAACATATTTGCATAAAACAGTATATATTACTTAGTGATTGAAATCAGTAGTTGAGTACTTGCATATCACTCATATCAACCAGTAGCGCTTGCTAATCAGATGCCGGTAAACGTATATCAAAGTAATTAAAAAGAATCATGTGTTAGTTTGAACAATAATATCTTCTTAACTGAACAAATTTGCCTACACAATACTGACTGATGAGCTCAGTTTCAAGTTAACGACATCACAGTTCAGGATTTAGGCCAACTAGATGCGTCAACTGGCAGGAATTGGCCAATGAGTTTAGTTTACAAATACTCATACCAATCAGAGGAATATTATGAGGATTCAAGGAAAGAATGAAGAATGTTGTTAGGTAGTTAGGCAAAGTGTGTCATTTCAGAGTACATTCAACATAACTTAAAAGTGCGAAAATAGGAAACTCTCTACTAATAAGTAGGAGCAATTACAAAAGGAATAAAGAACTAAAAAAGAACTTAGTCATAGGACAAAACTGTCCATTGAGAAAATTATTTTAAGAATCCAGTTATGCCTCACATCTACTATCTTCAAATTCCATAGCGAATATATTGAAAAACAGAAGGTGTAGCAATGTAATAGATCACCAATATCTCTTATCGTAGCAGATATCTTTATGGACAGCTGGGAAAACATTGTTCTAAATACGTTTAAACCTACTCCAAAAATATGGTGGACATATGTGGATGACACTTTCACAGTGTTAGAAACAGAACACACCTCTCTCTAGCTTCTTGACACATATAAACTCACCAGTAGAGGGAATAAAATCCACATTCAAATCGGGAAATGAACAAGGCGAATTAGCTGTGGTGTTAGATTGTAAAATAAGACGAATACACGAATGTGAACTGCACACTAGCGTTTATAAAAAGCCTACGCATTCTGCTAATAGATATTTAGACTTTAATTCACCTCATCCGTACGTTATCTATAAAGGCAGGCTTACTTAAGTGTCTGACAAACCGAGCAACACCACTCATTAGTACAAGAAAAGACCTAAATGATGAAATAAAACAGATAGAAGCGGCGTTGGTGTCAAATAACTACCCTATAAAATTCATTAGGAAGATCAGAAAAGGTCAATAGCAAAATAAAAATAATTGTGGAACCATTAATGATAACATAAATAAGAAAGAATAGAAGGCATCTACAGTTTTACCACATAAAGAGGGGACATCTGAGACCCTACATAGGATTCTCAACAAAGCAAGAATCAGGGTGGCATCCAATCCTACAGACTCAATCAGGTAGGAAAATCTGTGTAGGTTAAAGAACCCTGTAGGTTTACCCAATTAAACAAAATAATATAATTTACACAAAATACCTTGCAATGACTGTGAGTTGAGTCATCTCCATAGGTCAGACTAGTAGATCGGGGTTATTCAGATCGTCAGAACATAAGAATTTAGCTAAGGTTACAATGATTGACTCCGAGGAGATGAGTAATTTAGAAAAAGTCTCAGCAATTGCAGTGCATACATTAACACGCAACCACACAATAAAGTGGGTGGGAAAGGGTGAAAATTGTAAAAAGTAATAAAGGTAGGTGGATAGCGAGAGAGGTTGATTACTGAATCCTGACTGGTTCATCGAGTCTACACCCAACACAACACATGTAATAGAAGTTACTCGCCGCAAATACCAGAGATGTGGAAGATATTATTACCACCAGTCAAATCAGAGAATAATAAATAACGTTAAAATGTATTCAATCAACTCACACTATAACATGCTAACAAGTTACTTATTTTAATATTAAAACATCTTATTTCCCATCTGATTGTATTTGATTGATAACAGTAATATTATTATTTCCGAATATACATTATCTTATATTGATTTTATTCAAATGTCTAATAATCAGTTTTACTCATGTATATAAACGAAGCAAGGAAGTTGTGTGAGATTGATAGGATCCCACATATTTTGGTATTGACTGTTTAATTTTGTATGTATGGTATATTATCATTCTCACACATTTTGATAGTGACTGCTAATTTTGTATATATGGTATATTATCATTCCCACACATTTTGTTACTGACTGTCAACCTCGCACATATGGTATATTATCATCTCTCACGCACTTTGTTATTGGCTATTAAGATCAATTATTTCAAATGCTGTTAGCTGTCCATATTGTTGTAAAATGTATAAATACCATGGCTTTCTTTATCGTTGTTGCACTTCAGTACACAGTCACAGTCCAGCCTTTGTCTTTTGATATTTGCGTGCTTTACTAAATCGGAAGGTACGACGAGCAGATAGGCAGATTAGTTCAGGCGCAGACAGAGCAAGGTGAAAACGTCTTCATTCAATTCCCTACCGTTATAACAGAGATTATGAGCAGTAATAAATTGTTCTGGAAACGTGGTCATCAGTAAATGTCTATGTATAAAACTAAACTGTGTGATTTTATCAAAATACAATTTTATCTATAATACATTTATACTCTACCACAGTGCCCAAGTTTTATACTTATATCAATAATAATTAGTCATATGTTAGCAAAACATGAAATACTACAAAGATAACAAGTAGACTGACTATATAACTTACCCAATTTGAGCTGTTGCCCGGTTGATAACACTTTTTATTTGATCTTGACAACTTTTGATGGCGTCAATCTCCTGTGAAATTTAAAGTGAATAAATAAATACATAAGTTAAAAAGGTACTGTGAAAAAAATTGTTTCATTGTGAATAATAAAGTATCAACAACTCAGTAGGCGGTATCATATCGCATTAGTTATGCAACCAACAGACATGAAATACACTTCTAGCTTTTTATGCCTTTGAGCATTTCAACCATACCGCAAATAGCTAAAAGCCGACATTTCGGAGTGAATCATTTCACGCAGTATTGTGCATACTCTATTTCTTTAACTATAAACTTTGTCAGTAGAGATTACAACTCATCTTAAATACGAGCTATCAACTTATTTAGTCCTTTATGATTATTATTATTTGTCTATCGGGTTTGATGCTAAACACTGGATTCCGACAGCCTGTCTCAATTGTATTCTGTCTTCTGAGGTCTGTTGTTTTAGGTTGCTTCACAACTTCTCGAAAATCTCCTTCCTCTCTCCGGACGATCTCTTCCAGGTAGTGTTACTCAACGCTCACCATAGTGGATGTCGAGTCCAACCTCACTTCCTTCTGTAAACTTTCTGCATAATAACGTCTAGAATGCCAACTAACTAGTTTACATATTTAGTACAGTCTGCAGGTGGATTTCATATCGCAACTTAATTGTAGATGTGGTTTGCGTGATGAATACTTCCGCCTTTCAAACGGTTAACTGGTGAATCTGTGTTATATCTAAGTAAGAAAACGTAAACTTTATGACGATTATGAGTAACTTTCAGCTGTTTTAATTACTGATAAGGTTTTAGGAGCTGATTTTTAAGTTCACCAGTTTCCCCAATATTCGCTGACCATTTTATGAATAGATTCGACGACAACATCTTTTCAAGTATACTCACTCCTAAAATATGATTAAGATATGTAGATGATATTTTTGTTGTGCTAAAACGAAATCTACACAGTGTTCATTCTTCGAGAAACTAAACAATCCATCTCCCAGAATCCATTTTACTTAGGAAGCGAAATCAGACATTGGTGAACTACTATTTATAGACTGTTTAGTTAAGAGGAAGGGAAACAAACAATTTAGTATATCTGTATTCATCACACCACATCAGTGCAAAGGTATCAGCTGTGTCAAGTCTTTTTAGACCAGCACACTTTTTGATGACAAATGAGAAAGAAAAAGAAATATCAAACGTCACTGAGACTCTCAAGCAAAACAACTATCCAAAGAACTTCATCAACATAATCAACACTGACATTAATTATGGTCGAAAACGTATTCCGAAGACATGGACCTCAACAGTTGTCATTCCATACAGAGCAGAGACGTCACTCAATAAACTCGACATCGGAGTTTTTTGCAAAACAGCAGGCAAACTGCGAAGCAACCTTGTCCATATAAAAGACCAAATCCCTAAAGATTCTCTATCGAATTGTGTCTGTAAGATAAAATGCTTGGAATGTGGTGCAATATACATCGGAAAAATATCCTGAGAAATCAAAATTAGAAGAAATGAACACCGTAGAGCATCTGTTCGACCACGGAAAGATAAATCCAGTTGTGAAATAGGAAAGCTTGAAAAATCATCAGCCATAGCTCATCTACAGGCTATAGAATCAGTCCACAAAAGTGACTTTTAACAGTATTGAAACAATCCAGAAAAATTTCAGAAATCAAGAAGAACGTCTCAAATCGTCAGAAGCACTTTATATCACGTGGAATTCAAATTGTCTCAATAGGAATGATGAACTAAAACAGAATTTGACGTGGTCACAATACCCCTCCCCTCCCCTCCCCCATGAAGTGACAAAATCAACACGAATGTGATAAGCAATTTCATTAGGTAAACACACGCTGTTTTCATAATTTTATACACTTATCAAATCGAACAATCTACGCCTGGTTTATTTTATTATCTTTACCAATTGGCCAACTTGACAAGTGAAAAATGACAGCAAGCTAGGGAAAGATAATTAAGTTGTTATATATAAGCTGAGATGTGTGAATTCTGATTTAATATTTCTATTCTGATAAAGCTATTAGCGGCAATAATGAGTAGTGAAACGTCAGTAAAAACAATGCTCACTGGCGACTGGCCCTATTCAGGTAGGTAGTTACCTGGGGTTCTAGTAAGAAGTCATGACCAGTAGGATGCAGCCGGTCGGGTGTGAGGACAAATACTCGCCAAAGACATTGGCTAGGGGTCGCGCTATTTTGTGAATTAGCAGAAGTTAGAATTCAAGGACTATTGGATCGGGTCCCAGTGGCTTAATGGTCTACGATTTAGCTCGCCTTGTAACCAGAATGTCCTGGGTTCGAACCTCGGTGAGTGAGTACTGCTATGGGATAGTCCCAAACTAGGACGAAACAGCTGTCCAGTACTTCCAGGTTTTCCGATAGTTCTCTAACTAATGCCAGCTCATGATGAAATCCTGTAACCAATCAAATCCCTACAAACCAACACTTGAAAAACAATATCGTTTGTTTATCATACATTAGGAAAATCAAAAACCTTTATTATATAATGTACATCATATACCTAATGCCTAAATTTCAACTGTTTAATTTAATGATAAGGTTTCAGCAGCTGATTTTTAAGACGATAATTGTACGTACGTAAAAAAGTATTCATTCATTCACCATGGTAGCACGTGTACAAAAATTTGTTTTTAGACAAAATAAATAAACAAACAAATGAATGACTGACTGAATGGGTAGGCGGGTGAGTAAAGCTCTACAACTGTCAAACACGATAAGGTTTCATAATTTTACCCATGATTTGGTTTTAAAAAAGATCAATAATTGTAGGTAGTATGTTATTACGCATTTACATAGTATATATATCTACGTGTTGTTTTTGCATCAGAATGGCAAACTGCAAAAATGACTACTACCTGTAACCAATTTCTCATTAATTTTACTGTCCAATGACAAACTGACTGACTGCTTCATGTTAATGAACCTTAGCAGGAATTAATCTTTCAGCCTGAACAATTCAGTGAAATTATTTTTCATTGGCTGTCTTTGACCTACACAGGAGATCAAATTTTATCCGATAGATTATTTTAGTGATAATAACAGGTTTCTGATATGACCACGTCTAACTACTTTGCAAACTTATCTTCTACCAGTCAGTATTGCTCTTGTGGTAAGGCGGTGGTTTGGCATGCGCAACACATATCCCTCACAGAAATCTCTATTTAAAAAACGATGTTTTATGCGATTTGTGAGGGAAAATCTGAAGACCGTATAAAACCACAGACTGAAGACATTTCTGATGTTTTTATCAGAAATTTAACCATTTGAATATAGTATTCTCAGGTTTGATCACGAACTGATTCCAGTTAGAGGATCACAGAATACTGGACAGCAGCTTCGTCCCTCTTTATGGGTCTTCAGTAGTACTAAGCCATGATCCCACCGCCAAGGATTGAACCAAGGACATTCCAGTTATAAGGTTGGTCTGGTAATCATTAGTCCACTGGAACGAAATGCAATTTTCCATTGATTCTAATTCCTGCGAATTCGAGATATACAATAACAGACAGTGTCATAGGCGAGAGTGTCTCTCCCTACAACGAACTTATTGGACCACATGATTTACCTCAGGCAACTCCATCTTGGTAGAAGGATATTATACTTGCTAAATATGAATTTGAAGAAAATGCACCATAGTGGGGAGTCTCCTAGACTGATGATCACACTACTAATCGACTGACAGATTTCAGGTAGCACTACTAAGCACTAGGTATGTGAGACTCATATCTGTCAAGTAACTAATGAATATAATCTCTATGGTTGGTTTTTTAGGGTTAGTTTTGTTTTTGCGAAATGATCACGGATTGATATCAGATAGGGAACCATTGAAAACCAGGGAGTAATGGACAGCCGCTACGTAAGCCTAGTTTGGGAATCATCGGTAGCATGCACCCACCACCAGGGGTCGAACTCAGGACCTTCCGGTTACAAGGTGAGGTCGTATATCATTCAGCCATTGAATCGGGCCCCAGCGGCTGAATAGTATACAACCTCACCTTGTAACCGGAAGGTCCTGAGTTCGACCCCTGGTGGTGGGTGCATACTACCGATGATTCCCAAACTAGGCTTACGTAGCGGCTGTCCATTACTCCCTGGTTTTCAATGGTTCCCTATCTGATATGAATCCGTGATCAACTCGTAAAAATAATGAATTTAACTTATCTAGTCTTTTAAGCTAAATACCGTTATTATTGCTAAAACCAAACAGTAAGTACTGATAGCAGTTGAACTGAATGACATTACCCAGATGAATAAAACCCATTAAATTTCCAGTCAGATTTCACTATAAAAGTTATCCAGAACAGTATGAAAATGAATTAGGTGACAAGAGAAAGTCACTACGAGTGATAAACACAACTGTGGAAAGGAAGAGAAGGTTAATGAAAAACTCTTGGAAACCCCGTAGACACCTTATGCACAGATAAATTAATATAGAACTTCGTACAAGTAGTTTTAAAAAATGAAGTGAACTTGCCTGTGTGAATCGTTTCATGAATAATTTCTAAATATTCATTTTCAATAGCTTGAAAAATTTAATTTGTATACACATTTGCTTAACCATTTAAAACTAACAGTGTCAGAGTATTTTATGTCGTAAAATAGTAGTCATTCACAACTATTTTACAGTCCATTGTCATTATAACTGATAATCATTGTCAAAAAAGGCGGTAGACTTCCATGGGCAACGATATTTTCAGTCATCTGAAGAGGTCAGAACTTTGTATTATTTTCATTGTATCTGTATACCTTATATTATCATTACTCCTTTAGAGGGTTCGGAGTGAGAAGTTGGTCTTCAGCACCACATCCTCACTTCACCCTGGTCTTTGCAGTCCTCTTTAGCTGACTCCACAATCGTCTTTTAGCTTTCGTTACCCTGCCCAAACGATCTCCTCTACGTCACCCTCAGACCTACGCAATCCCAGCTCGCTTTTTCTCAGCATTCGGATCTCACTTGCAGGCACATCGTATAATGTTTCTTAGCAGTCTATACCATGTG